CTGAGCCAAATCCCTAGCCCTTTTTATATTTTATTTTGAGACAGAGTCTCACTAAGTTACTTATGACCTTGCTAAGTTGCTGGGGCTGGCTCTGAATTTGCAGTCCTCCTGCCTCAGCCTCTAGAGCCACAGGCATGCACCACTACACTGGACTGTTACTGGTCAGTTTTTAATTTGTAAATATCAATTTACTTTTTCTGCTGTGCCTCTGCCCCCTAACTCTCCAAAAGGTCATACTGTGGTGACTTTGTTTTCCTGTGACTTATGTGCTAATTGCTTTCTGATCCCATTCTCATCCTCAGATTGACTTTACTTGTTCTATTGCTGTTTCACTCTTCAGGCTGGGAACCCAGATCTTAAAACATGTTACTCTTGGTAGACAACCTTGCTTCCCTCTATGGTCATTTAAGATTTTATGGGACTGGGGATGTAGCTCCATGGTAGAATGCTTGCTTGCATGCTCAAGGCCCTGCATTTCTTCTCCAGTAACACACACCACATACACATGCATGCACACTCATGCACGCATACAAAATTATGATGTGAATTTTCTGTTTTCTTTTTTGCATCATCATCTTCATCTTTTTTTTTTTCCTTGACACTTTTGGAAGTGGAGCTACCTTTGTACTTGTTTTGTTTAAACAATAGTTGGGGGGAGTCAAAAACATTTTGTATTTATATTTTTATTAATTGTATATGTATTTGTATTTTACTTTTTATACTTGTATTTTTCTACATATTGTTCGCATTTTGTTCTTAGATTTAAGTTTTTTTTTTGTAGGCAGTATCAAAATATTATCAAAATATTGTCACTCTAGTGCTTAAAAGAGAGCCAGTATTAATTTTTCAGTGTGTATCTTTACAGTGTAATAAAAAATAAATAGGTTTATACTATATATGTTTTTTAAAAAGCTTTATTTAATAAAATGTCTTTTTTAAAATCAGTTTTCCACATTAAGTATTAATCTGTGTTCTTTCAAAAGCTGCCTGAAAATCCATGAGTATGCCATGTTTTATTTAATTAGTTTTCTGTTGTTGAGTATTTAGATTATTTTTGACTTTTTGTTATTATAAACAGAGCTACAGTGAATTTTTTTTTTTTTACAAACAGCTTTGTACAATGATTTAATTATTTTTTGTGTGTATTCTTGGTGGTAGATTATATAAACTTTTGAAAGCATTTATATTGCCAAGGTGGCAATTAGAAACGTGGTTTCAGTGTATTCTGTCCAGAATATGAATGCCTATTTTCCCCACATCTTAGAAAGGTGAATAATTTATGATTTTAATTTTATTTATTTTTTATTATGAAGGAGTCAGCTTTTTTTTTCTATTTAGGGATTATTGTTTTTTTATGTGAAATTGCCATTTGTGTCATTTTTCTCTTGGAGTTTTTCTTATGGATTTACAGGAGTCTTTTGTGTATTAAGAATGTTGACCCTTTGCCATCTTTTGCAAATATTTTTTAAACTTTTAATAGATTTTGCTTCCTATGTTGAAATTTAAAGTTTCATGTAGTAACAGGTTTTCATTTTTGATAGTTGACTTTTTCAAAATATGTTTAACTATTCCTTTGTGGCTAGAAAATTAGGTTTTGTTTTTTCACTATGACCTAGAGGAAAAACTTTTTATATGCAACACCCTCTCTTCCTTCTCCCTTAATTTAGTTCTCCAGGATAAATTTATAAGAATAAAAATTCCAGGATCACAGTCAAACTTTCTAAAATATTGCCATATATTGCCATTAGTCCTCAATCATTCCACATGTTCCATTGCTTATTGTGATCTTGTGTCAAGTTATTTAGTCTCTGAGAGTTGTGAAACATGTGAATGCGCATTGAAAAGATGCTGTGTTCTCTTGTCTGCCATTCTTGCTTTCCTTAACACTCTTGCTTTATAATCTAGGTGGTACCTCAAATTTTAGTCCTCTGCCCCTTCTGTCTTTCACATATTAGCCAGCATCTCTAGGTGGGTGACTACCAAATCTCTCTGTAGTCTTGGAATTCCCTCTTGTCCTGGCATCTCTGACAGATGGTCGTCTATTGTGTACCCTGAAGGACTTCAAGATAAATATGTCCCAAACTCATTTCTTCTCCCTCCTGAAACAAGGCTAGCATCTGCCCAGGGACTTATACTTAAACTCTTCAAGTTGAATTATACTCACTTGGTGTTCCTTAGTAATCTCTCTTCCTTTCATTCTTCCCTTTTTACTTCTGCTGCCAATTATTGTGGTTCAGGCTTTTATTACCTTTCATTCTCTCTTTGGAGACTATCATCATATTCTTCTGATTGGTTTCTTTGCTTTCTAACTTGCTTCCTTATATTCTCTCTAGCCCATTTTATGTACTACTTTTGTACATTGATTAGTATTTTCCTATTAAAAACTTTGTCTTCCATTGCCTATATATTAAAATCTAAACCCTTTAATCCAAAGTTTACTTTCTTTTGCAATTTGTTACCTCCCTATCTTATTAATATTCTCTTCTGCCACTGTAACTTCTCCTGGGCTTGTATCCTCCATCCTGAACTCTGATATTTCCATTTCTGAGAAATAGCTCACCCTGCTAAATTGTTTGGCCTACTATTGCTGTGAGACCCAGTTTGAATTTGTAGTCCCTTAAGATTTGTTCCTAGATGTTCTACCTCGTCAATATTACATCACAGCTCAACTCCAAATCAAGTCCTTTGGCCTTGGGACCTTCATTGTTCTTTTTAATTCAATTTAATTTTCTGTTAAATAGTTTTGGTTTGTTTTTCCTTTGCTGTTTACACTTTGAGTCTGCAGATTTGAGGTAATTGTATTCCTCAATTTATAGTATATTACAGGGGTACCAAATGCCTTTCTTCTTTTTATTTTTTTCCCTTGTCAGTTACTTCCGTCATTTTCTTTGCCATAGAAACACACCTGTATTTTATATATATGTATATTTGTATAAATTTAAGAATATAGCTGTCTTTCCACAGAGATTTTAGTTTTGAGTTGTTTTTCTTTCTCTTTTAATACAGTTTTGCACAGAGCAAGTGATCAGTACATGTTTGGCTATTTGGAATTCATTAAAAATTATTAATGCTTTTATTTGCTTCCATACTACTTAGACTGAATTCTGGAGATTGATTCTAGCTTTACTCATCCATATTCAGTTAGTCATTGTAATCCTGAATCTGACCTATCCTTTCTATTCTGTTGCAAGCTTCAGACTCTTCATCAACTTTCCTCCTTTTTTTTTTTTTTTTCTCCATGCTAGGGATGCAGGTACATCCCTATCCCCTTTTATTATTTTTGGAACAGGGTTTTATTAAGCTTGTAGAGGCTGGCCTTGCACTTGGAATCCTCCTATCTCACTCTCCCAAGTTGCTGGGATTAAGGGCCAGTGCCACCATTCCCGGCTTCCCTCTAATTTTATAATACCTCTATACCTGGATCTTGCTTTTAATCTCTCCATTCTGTTTGTCTTTCATTGTTTCTAGTTACCTTAGGAAAATCCAGATCAAATCAGGCCACTCCTTCCTAAAGTGTAAGAAAGAAATCTCGGGAATCAACAAGGTATCTAGTCTTGCGTTTCTCTTTTCACACTAAGTAATTCCTTATGTCCTTTGCTACCTGTTTACCATGTGACTTTTAAAATATTTTTATTTTATTTTTTTGCAGTCCTGGGGATTGAATCCAGGGCTTTAGGCAAGTTCCCTACCACTGAGTCACATCCCCAATGTGTGAGGGTTTTTTTTGTTTTTTGTTTTTTTTTGGGTTGGGGGGTACTGGGGTTTGAACTCAGGGGCACTCAATCTTGAGCTACATCCCCATCCCTATTTTGTATTTTATGTAGAGACAGGATCTCGCTGAATTGCTTAGAGCTGAATTGCTGAGGCTGGCTTTAAACTCTTGGTCTTCCTACCTTTTCCTCCCACACCACCAGGATTATAGGCTTGTGCCACTGTATCTGGCCAACTTTTTAAAAACACATTTTTACTTCCAGAACTTTATGCTTTTGCTTAAGGTAAGTAAAGTACCCCCGCCTTTTTTTTTACTTTTGAAATTAATCTTTCAGATCTGCAAATGCTACTCTATGACTTGCCCTTAATCTTTTTTTTTGCTTCCTTACTACTTTGTTGATATTAATTAATTAATTAATTAATTATAGTACTTATCGTATTGTGCTGTGTATTAAACTTTGTGGTATATATCTTTTTCCACATTTTTTATTGATATTATAGTTGTACATAATGGTGGGATTTGTTGTTACATATTCATACATGCACACAGTATAAGAATATTATACGGACAACATCATTTTCAATATTTCCCTGCCCCCTTACCTCTTTTCCTTCTTCCCCTAGTCCCTTTCTTCTACTTTATTGATCTCCCTTTGATTTTCATGAGACACCCCCACCTTCTTTCCTTTTTCTATTTTAGCTTCTGTAGATGAGAGAAAACATGATGGTGATATATATCTTAATTCCCAGTGTCTGTTTATTCTTTTTTCTATTAAGCATAAAACCTCAAATGTCATGAGAAGATCACAACTATTTTGAATGATAACTGTTACTGGGACTATCCTGGGGAGGTCCCCCCAAAAGAGAGATGGACCTCAATTCAGGGTCCTTATCTCATTGCAAAAAAGGAATTTAAGGATGGGTCAAAGTGAAGCACAGATAGAATTAAGAGAAAGAAAAGGTAGATTATGGGCATTGGAGAGGAATATGCTGGCTACATTTTAGCTAGACACATATATATGTATAAGATCGATAATGCAGGGATGATCTGAGCAGGTGTTACTAGCACTCCATTGTGTTGATAACTGGACACGTTGACCATTAACCAGGATGGGGATCATTTTTTTTTCTTCTTTGTTTTTGATGTGTTTTGCTCCATGGATTTACTCAGTACAACATTTGTGTAGAGGTGGATAAGTTTTGATAATTGATTTAAATAGTGCTGTTTGTGATCTTTAAATCTGGATATTTAATTCATGAGAAAGTGGACTGTAAATCTTCACTTAAGTCATGGTCAGTCTTGTCTCACATGCCTCCTTTCTACCTGTCCTTATGTCCTCTGTCCTACCTCAATACTACAGAAATTTGTTAGGGATTTGAAGGGATTACCAATTCCACAGTAGTGTTTTAGTTGATTTTTACCAACATTTTTTTTCAAATGTTATACTGTGCCATCTTTGCAGCTGTTAGCACTGTACAACTGCCCCACATAAATACTTTTTGAAATGATGCAGTTTTTTTGTCTGAATTTCATTGGTGAAAATATGCACACATCATCATTTTTTATTTACTAACTAAACAGCTGTGCTTTTTGAAGAGCAAAGAAATCATTTAGATATATTATCATGAGATTAAGATTTAAAAAAAATAGATCTGCCCTCCCTTAATACTCAATAGCATTCATAATTAAATATTATAGTTAAGTAGATGATGATGTTTGCTGGTAAATTTAAAATCTGAATCTAGTGAAGCAGTTGATGTATAGGGTGTGGTTCCTGGTTTTTTTTTTTTTTTTTAATTTACAGATGTGGAAAATGAAGTTTGGTTTTCAGCAAACTCCAGATTGAGAAGCTGCTGTCACTTCTACCTGCCGGTTATATTCAGTGCTGAGTGTACATTGACTGTATACACAATCATTTTTTTTTTTAAATTTCAATATTTATTTTTCAGTGGACACAACATCTTTCTTTGTATGTGGTGCTGAGGATCGAACCCTGGCTGCACGCGTGCCAGGCGAGTGCACTAATGCCTGAGCCACATCCCCAGCCCTACACAATCATTTTTGTGGGTACTGTTGAAAATTCAAAGTTGTAGGAAATCATATTCTTTTCTCAGGAACTTCCACATCTGTTTGGAATAAGCAGGTGTTCAAATTGTTACAAAACATAATAAAGTGGTATAGGTAAAGCCACGTGAGGATTTGAAGATCAAATAGTATCTGGCTGTGAGGCTGTTAATCTAAAGTATGTCTTGATGTCTTGAGGAACTGTTGAGATTTCAGCAAATAGAGAAGAGCAAGAGATGGAAGACACACGAGCTTAGAAGTAGGGAAGATCTATTACTTAGAAGTAGGGACTATCCCAGAGAATATTCTGGCAATAATAGCCTATTTTGATTGTAATAAAGAAAATGTATAGAAAGAGGTAAAACTGTTAAGATAGACTATAATTGTAATTGGCCAGGACTTGACTGTGAAAGGCTTTGAACACCAGGTTAAGGATTTGGAGTTTAATTTTTCTGGTCTGGGTATTGATTTTTTTTTTTTTTTTTTTTTTGTGGTCCTGGGGATTGAACCCAGAGCCTTGTGCATCTGAGGCAAGGACTCGTACCAACTGAGCTATATCCCCAGCCCAGGGGTATCTGATTTTTGAATAATTACCTGATTATAGTGATAAGGAATATTAATCCTAGCTGTATGCAGTGGTGTATGACTGTAATCCCAGTGACTCAGGAGGCTGCTACTAGAGGATTGTGAGTTAAAAACCAGCCTCAGTAGTGGCAAGGGGCTAAGCAACTCAGTGAGACCTTGTCTCTAAATAAAAAATACAAAATAGGGCTGGGGATGTGGCTCAGTTATTGTGTGCCCATGAGTTCAATTCCTGGTACCCCCCCCCCCAAAAAAAAAGGAATATTAATGTTGTCTTCTGTGAAATGACTTAAATGTTAAAGACTTACGAGTCTTATTAGAATTTGAGGTTCACATTCTTCTTTTGTCCCCTCTCTCTCTGAACATCTTTGTTTGTTTGTTTGTTTAAACTCCCCAATATGGGTATTCTAGTTTTTCAAATTAATTTTCTAAATCCTCACCTGTGACTTAGTGACTTATTCTTACGTTTTCTCTTTCAAACTTAACCTGCTTGGAACTGCTTTTACTGACACCCTAAATTTGTCAGAGCTCTACTTTTTGCTTCCTTGTGGTATTTGAAGACTCATTTTGAATTTATTTTATATTTACTATCATTTGTTTAAATTTTTTTTCTCCTCTAAATTTGTTAATGTCATTCCCCAAATACATAATAAAGGTCTACGTAAGTGAAGTATTTCTGAGACTAGCAAGATATAATACAAATATCATGAATTTTTTTAAAAAAAGCTGGACAATTGTGAGTTTGAAGTCTGTTTGGGCAACTTAGACACTATCTCAAAAAAACTGGGGGGCTGGTGATGTAGCTCAATGATAAGGCACCCCTGGGCTCATTTCCCAGTACTGGAGAAAGGAAAAGAAAAGAAAAGAAAAAAATTAGCTGTGAAGTCAGAGAAAAATTGCTCAACTAGTTTAAGACTAAGTAACTTTTTTTGTAAAATGGATGTAATTTCTATTAACAAAATTCAGATTATTAAGGAAAGATAAAATGTGAATGTGCCTAGCATATATTGTGGTATTAAATAAATCTTAGGTTTTTCTTTTTTCCTTTCTTGGCTTGACTTTAAAATAAGTCAACTTTTCAATAATAGGCATATTTGGCACCCAGTAGAGGTTTTTAAACATAATTACAGCTTCACTGTGATTTAAAATTTTGGTTTCATTTTTTTCAGTTCAGCTTTAATAAGTTTAAGCATGAAATATAAAAGTTTGTTCCTTTCATTTCTTAACTAAGAAATGAACCTATATCCTCTATCACTACTGATTTCTTCAGTGCATCTGTGTAATTGGTTAGATACAGTAGCAGAAATCTCAGTGGAAAGAGAGAAACTGTCTCTTTTTGTTGATGAACTAAGTAAAATTTTACTGAAATTTCAAATTTAATTCCCTAGATTTTCAAATATTTCTTCTTTGCTTTATCCTAGTATTTTATGTAGACTTTTACCTAAAATTCCCTGATGATTATGCTGTTAGATTATAGAAATATTAAAAGTAAAAACTATCTTAGAGTTCCTTAAAAATGGTAGGAACTCCAAATATTTGTTGGTTTCATTTAGATGCATTGGAGAAGGAGTAGTTTGTTCTAATATTATCTAGTTGCCCAGGGAGAATACCTCTGATAGTTTGTTGTTGGTTTTTGGGGTTTGAGGAAGGTGGCTGCTTGGGGTCCAGCAAGCTGTACTACAGCTCTTTTTATTCCTCAGCACTTTTTTCCTTTTTTTTTATACATGACATAGAATGTATTTTAACATACATATATGGACTACAGTTTCCCTTTATTCTGGTTGTACATGATGTGGATTACATTGGTGGTGTATTCATATATGAACATACGAAAATAATATCTGATTCATTCTATTAATATTCCTACTCCCAATCCCCTTTCTTTTGTCTAATCCAAAGTACTTCTATTTTCTCCTCCCCCCAACCTCTTATTGTGAGTTAGCACATCCGAGAGGACAATCATCCTTTGGTTTTTTGGGATTGGCTTACTTTACTTATGATAGTCTTCAGTTCCATCCATTTACCAATAAATGCCATAATTTCATTCTTCTTTATGGATGAATAATATTCCATTGTATATATATAACCACATTTTCTTTATCCATTCATCTGTTGACGGATTCCATAGCTTAGCTATTGTGAATTGAGCTGCTATAAGTACTGAATGGTTGTGTCACTCTAGAGTG